AATCAGGGACAAAAAGGAGGCACAAACAGACATTTAGGCACAAGGTAAAGGTTCCCCCTGCACATGCATGCTTGTTGTTTCCGGCTCTAGGGGGCGGTGCTCATCTCCATTTCAAAGCCCAAGAGCCAGCGCTGTCCAAAGACCTCTCCATGGTCATGTGGCTTACATGACTAAACACCGAAGGCACACGGAATGCTATTACCTTCCCAACAAAGGTGGTACCTATTTTTCTACTTGCATTTTTACGTCCTTTCGAACTGCTAGATTGGCAGAAGATGGGACAAGTAACAGGAGCTCACTCCATTACGTGGCACTAGGGATTCGAAACCAGTGAGCTGCCGACCTTCTGATCGACAAGCTCAGCGTCTTAGCCTATGAGCTACCGTGTCCCTGTTTTAGGCACAAACTGACTTTTAAATCTCAGCAGCCTTTCTTCCTTTAAGGTAGCTTAAGCAGCAGCCCTAGAGGTCTCAGAAGAGGTCTGGACTCCTTTAGTAGAGAAACACTGTGATCCTTCAGCAAGTTCTCTGTTTTACTTTTTATTCAAGTCACAGTATCTAAAGGCCACTGTTCTATAGAAGTGTTTAAAACAGCCCCTAAAGGCCATTGGTTCTATCAGCTCCTATTAAAGAAGGCTGCAGCTATATTGTCGTTGAATTTTTATTCATTCTTGACTTTTTTTTTTAAAGCTCCCTGCATGAAGTAAACAACTGTGTCTCACCCTGCCTGTTTCCCCTCTGAAATGCTAATTTCCTGTGCAGGACAGTATTCCAATAGGCAATCTCCTACCTGTATTCGGCATAGATAAATGTTCAAGAAGGCTGCATTTTGTGATCCCGCTGAACACATTTCCTGACTTGCTTTGATGTATATAAAAACATCCTTCTTTTTATTTTCCAATTAGATTACATATTGCTGCACTAGGGGAAGTAATTGGTAAAAAAAAAGGTGTAAATGGGTCATTTAAGACTCATTTTAAAACCATTATGCTGGATAAAATTCCAGGAAATAATTTAAAATTGATTATGTTGGTCCTTTCCGGGGTTCTTACTATAACAGCCTTCTGTTTTAGTTTATCTGGCCTCATGCTTTTGTTCATTACAAAATTAATTTCTCGTCTCCTGGGGGTTTCCAATATCTGCCAAATCTCTTGGCATGGATTCATTTTCCCTTGGCATAAAATAGCTTTGGAAAGATCTTAAGTTTTGTCTGGTCTTACCTTAGAAATGAACAACATCTGTAGGAGTGCAGCTATTCAAGATGGAAGTTCAAACAGCAGATATTGACTCTGCAGCAAAAAAATTATCCAGAGTAGAATGGTAAAGGAAACTCACCCTAAGCTCTTTAGCTCTGCTTTGAGGAAATATACCCACAACCCAAACTGAAGAGAGAAAATACAAACTAGTCTGACTTTTCTAACCCCTACTGCGGCATGGCCACCCCTTAACAACCATTTAGAATGAACTGTGATTTTATGTNCCCCTGATGTAAACACATATATAGTCTTCTTTGGATTGCCCAGGAAGCAAGGCTTTTAAGTGTAACTCCTTAATTTAAAACTCTGTTGTTGTTGTTGTTGTTGTTAAAAGAGGCACAAGTAGCACTCTCCTTCTTTGTTTTGAAACCTCAAAGCAATGGCTTAAAAATAAGTCTGATATGCAATATATTGAAGTGTCTCGGTCTGCAGGCTAAGAAAAGTTGTGGATATTATTGAGTGCAATACATTTATTTTATTCAGATAAGATTAACTATTATCAGGTATAGGAAATACATTTATTTCCAGTTTCCATTAAGTTATACACCATAGGATTGGGTTTTTTTTTTAATTAGAAGAAATCTACAGAGATAGCCTACTTGGCATTTGTATTTTACCTGGAAAAATATTGCTTTACCCTCATGTCTCCAGAAGTTTGTTACTGGATAGCCACTATGTCCTCGGCAAGCAATCAGTTCAAGAGTCGAGCCGCAGTTGGGACAATGCTTTTCTGCAAGATAGACAACTACATTGGGAATATATAAGACCTCTATATCGTGAGATAGAAGTACTGCATAAAAATAATGTGCAATATATGTGCAAGTATATTTCGATTTTGCATAATTTGGGAATTATAAACTGACACATTTTCACAGGTTTCCCTGTGGGGAAAATGACGTCGCTTCATGTGTACTTTTTCTACCTGCAGTAGAATCTTCAGTTACAGGAATGACATTGATAAATTATTCCAGGAATGTCAAGAACATTGCTTTGTAAAAAGCCTTTCAGGTACCGTAAGGCTAATTTCTTGCAAGGAGTTTCACCTCTCCACAGTTGTAGGTGACATGCAAATGCCTGTTGTAAATAAATATCTGGCATATTTATGACATGCAAATGCCTGTTATAAATAAATATCTGGCATATGCATATGTATAAATGAGTATCTGGTTAATGAATAACTTGGAGATTCCATTTTTAAGCAGTAAGAGCTGAGTAAAACTATACTAAATTTTGAAATCTGGGAAGGGAGGAACTGGTTTTGTTGAACTTTTCACTAGAAGGGAAGATCCCCAACAGCTACAAGGATGGCTATTGCATGGCACACACACATACACACACACATACACACACACAATTCTCACTTTGTTGCTTTTGTCGAGCCTTATCACAAATAGCAGGCCGAAGCTGCAGCTTTGTCCCATCAGGCAGGGTGCAATTTCTGGCGCACACTACCACGCCAAGGCAGGATTTCTTGAGGATCTGGCAATTGTGGTTGTTGGTGTTGCGCATGGCCCAACCACTAAGATGCCTTTGTGCATTTTTATCTTCAATTGTATAGATATATCGCAAATACCCATCAGGCCACTCCTGGAAAGAATCAAAGTGTTTGGGCTCCTGCATAAGAGACAAATACATGAGGGGAAGGAGAGAAAAAAGAATAGATGTAGAATCTATTTACTGTAAATACTACTAACACTCTTGTTCCCATAATCTTTAACTGGACAGAACAGTGCATCATAAGGCAATAATTTTTAAACCAAGCACCTCCAATGAGCTAAAAAGCAAAATGTGTCCCAAATCTGGGACTTACGATTCCTATGGAATTCAAACTTAGCAAATTTTATAAAAGAGTTTATGACGTAATACAAAATGTCATCAAACATTTCCTGTCATTTTACTGGGCTATACAGTTCAACCGTGACCCGTCAAACCCGCACTCGACTAAGCCGCGCCCGATTAAACCGCGTC